GCTGAGCGTGGTGCTGACAACACCAAGTCAAAGGTTAAGATCCCCTTACCGGTCATCTTTTGAAAAAAAAAAAAAAAAAGCCAGCATTCTTGCCTATTGTTAGCAGTTACTTTAAAGGATGGTTCAATCTACTTAATAAATCTAAAGGAAAAAAAATGTTATGGAACTTTCAATACTGTTAGATTAGGTTGAAAAATCTGAAGCACGTACTTCTCAAGATGTTTAAAAGTCAATAATCACAACAATGTTGAAGTGAACTATAAAAACATTTCAGTAACAGACATACAATTCCTCACAGCTCTCCTTTCCCTACACATACTAAATAAATCAAATAAACAAAACCACTGATAAGATATTCACAGAACCTATGATTAGGTGGTACTACTTTCCTTAACACCACTTACTTCTCTGGTGGGCCCCTTCTCCACTCGGAATCTGCTTCAGGTGCTTTTCTCCATGTGCCTTCCGAATCTCTATCTCCCCAACGAGAGTCCTACATCAACAAAAAAAGAAGTTAACAAGAGGCTTGTAACTGTTGTTAACAACAGTTTATTATAACAACTACTGGTATTACCATTCAAATATTTCTTTGTACTTAAACAATCTCAAGCCCTTAAACATAAGCAAGTTTTAAAATTATATTTCTTTTTTAATCAGAAATCAGACTGACAGTACAGTGAAAGTGGTATTTGCATATACTGTGGGTGGCTTTATAAACTGATAAAACACCACTGGAGAGCAACCTGGGAGCACCCACATGGAGACATTAAAATGTCTACAGATCCCTTTTGACCTAGAAATTCCTCTCGGAAACTACGTGAAAAAAGTCAAGTACCTTGAAATGTACATCATCGTGCCCACTAAGCAAAAAAAAAAAAAAAAAGTGGGCTAAATAAATGTCTGATAGGGGATGGTTAAATTAAGTTTTTCTCCCTTCAAAGTACTGTGCTGTCATTAAAAATTATGGAAAGGGTGTCAAGAAGAGATAGTCAATACCCTTACAGTGAAACTGTAAATATGGTACAAGCTTTCTACAGGTCAAGGAATACAATTTAAATCACGAATACCCTCTGGCACAGCTTAAATGCTTGCACAAATGTAACCTAAGGCCATACTCAGACAAGAGGAATTCTCTAGAAGATATTTTAAAACAAGATTTAGGGATGAGGTAGGAAAGCTAAAATAAAAATCTATGAAGCTGAGAATAACCTACAACCCCAAATACTGTGTGAATATAAGAACTTTAACTAAAAAAATTTTTAAGGTGTCTTGGCAATGAAACCTCCAATAATGACTAGAGACAACAAACAGTGAAAGACAAGAATGACTATGAGTGGGTTCCGTGCCAACACAGCCACGAACTGTGTGCTAGCTTTTGAGAAGGGGGTTGTTCTAAGAGACTTTCCCAAGTGGACACTGAAAGAAAAAATACGAATTCAATAGTCAGTGTAACTTATAATTGCTACAATGGAGGAAACAGCCACAACCAGAAGACCAAGTTTCTCCCACTCCTCACACTTGCCCTGAGAATTATACTCAACAAATTATTCAAGTAATTAGAAAATATAATACAAATATCAGAACTTCTAAAGAGATTTTTAGCGATGGCTGTCACAGCCATTAATCAAACAAAAAAACAATTCTAAAAAATTAACACATGGGCCGGCCCCGTGGTGCCGCTTGGGAGTGTGGCGGCGCTCCCGCCAAGGGTTCGGATCCCATGTGGAGACCAGTTC